CCGCGCCTGCTCTTGGCCAATCGCCAGGCGCGTCTCACGGTGACGTTGCGCCGCGGCGACCCGGAAGCTGCGCAGTTCGGGGCTTCCCAGCCGGCTGCCCCGACTGCTCCTTCATTCATTGACTCACCACGGAGGTGGGATGTTGTGCTACGCCTTCCGCAGGCTGATCGCTCCTTTTATTAATTTATTTTTGTACCCTTTTTTTTTTTAAATCCTCACCCGAGGATATTTTTCCATTGACTTTTAGAGAGAGTGGAAGAGAGAGGGAGAGACAGAAATATCGATGTGAGAGAGACATCGATGGATTGCCTCCTGCACACCCCCTACTGGGGATCAAGCCTGCAACCCAGGTACGTGTCCTTGACCAGAATCGAACCCAGGACCCTTGCACTGAACCAAAGGCTGGGGCCACTATTTTATTTTAATTTTATTTTTTAAGTATATTTTTATTTATTTCAGAGAGAAAGGGAGAGAGAGATAGAAACATCAATGATGAGAGAGAATCATGGATCGGCTGCCTCCTGCACACCCCCCACTGGGGATCCAGCCCACAACCTTGGCGTGTGCCCTTGACCAGAATCGAACCCGGGACCTTTCAGTCCGCAGGCTGACGCTCTATCCGCTGAGCCAAACCGGCTATTTTAAATGGCAACATCTCCTCCCCATTGTCTAGCCCCCCTCCCCTGCTTTATTTCTCCTTAGCACATCTCACATTTCACTTATTTATTGACTGTTTGTCTCCTCCCCCAGGGGTAAATTCCAGGAGGGCAGTTACTTTTGTTCTGTGCTGTGCTGTATTCCCAATGCCTATAGAAGTAACCACACGTCCCCCTGCCCTGGACAGGGCCCAGATTTAAATCCACCTATTATGGGCAGTGTGACCTCGGGCAAGTCCCCGTCTCTGAGACTACTTCCTCTGTGAAATGGGGTAATGACACCAAACTCTATAGACTTAAGATGTGTTTGTGGAATAACTTGCAGTACATGGGCACAGGGCATGTCATCCACGCGTCTCTTCCCTCCGCCCACCCTTCTTGCAAACAAATATACACGCTTTCTTTGTCAGGGGCCACACCCAACATCTGGGAGCCACGGGAGGGTGATTGGGGATCGAAGAATTCGACCGAGCCTTGCTTTGCTACTTCCTAGCTGGGTGGCGCTGGGCAAGTCACTTTGCCCCTCTGAGCCCAGGATTCCTCCTCGGTCACATGGGAACTGTACCCCTTGATCCTCACAGCATTGTTGTATCAGTTCAAGAGAGAGGGCAGGCCTCATTCGGGGCACTGGCAATAGCAATCTAAAAGGGTTTGTTGCCCTGGCCGGTTTGGCTCAGTGGATAGAGTGTCAGCCTGCGGACTGAAGGGTCCTGGGTTCGAAGGGCACATGCCAGGGTTGCTGGCTCGATCCCCAGTGGGAGGCGTGCAGGAGGCAGCCAACCAATGATTCTCATCATTGATGTTTCTACCTCTCCCTCTCCTTCTCCCTTCCTCTCTGAAATCAATTAAAAAAAAATTTTAAAAAAAGGGTTTGTTGCCCTAACTCAGCCGTGGGCAAACTACGGCCCGCGGGCCAGATCCGGCCCATTTGAAATGAATAAAAATAAAAAAAAAAAAAAAAGACCGTACCCTTTTATGTAATGATGTTTACTTTGAATTTATATTAGTTCACACAAACACTCCATCCATGCTTTTGTTCCGCCGCTCCAGTCCAGT